AGTATTTGGATCCATTTCCAGAAGCTTTTTCGGAATCAATGGGTACTGCCAAAGGACCTTGTAAAGAGACTGGGCCGAATGGGTCCTAGTATCTTCCCTTGTAATATTTTTTCTATTTTCCTGTTAGCTAATGGGCCTGTTATTTCTTTTTGTTTGATCTCTTTATGTTACTGCCTAGCTGGCCGCTCACTTAAGGGCATACTTGTAGTTATTTTAACAATAATTTTTAGTAAAAGGGATTAGAGAAGGAAGGGAAGGATTATTCAAACCTTTCTTCTTCCTCCTCTTTTCCCCATCTTCTTCTCTTGTACTGCTGCTCTTACTTTTCTACCTCCTTTTTCTCTCTAATTTTTTGAGTTTACACCTATTTTTGAGGACTGGTTTACATCTTGGTATCAGAGCAGGTTTCTTTCTTCCTTCTTTTCTTCTTCCTCTTTTCCCATACACCCTTCGATTAAGAGAGTGTATGGAGAGGTAGGTTCTCTATTGCTCAAAGGATCTCTAGCCTAGTTGGTAGAGGGTTTGGAGAGTTTAAATCTGGCTGGATATTGCCAAGAAGYGGTGCTGTTCTATTGCTGCCCAAAACCGTAGCCGACTAGAGATTTTCGAAGGTACAGGTAAAAGTGAAGCTTTGGGTGTGGCGCTCTGTGCTTGGGAGGTGTCTTTTGACTCCTAAARGAGGRYDGTTYAGGTTTGGAAGAGATTGGGAAGCTCTGGTAGGAGCGGCTGCATCTTCTCTCTTCCTCCCCAATAGTTGGACGGAGTAAAACCCTAGTTTTCAAGCATCTGGGTTCTGGTTTGATTTCAAGTAAGTTTATATAGACAAAATTTCTGGTTCTTTGATTTTCGTTTGATTAATGGAGCCATACGGAAGCGAGTTTAAGCAAGTGCCGGTTTCTGGCCTTGGCTCGGTAGATTCCATTTTGACTGGTGTGACCACAATCAAGCTAGATGGGACAAATTATCTTGCTTGGGCATAGTCTAAAAGAATTTATGTCTGTAGTAGAGGAAACCTTGGGTATTTCACAGGTAGTAAAGTGAAACCCGAAGAGACAGACCCTGAATTTGAGAAATGGATGCAGGAGAACTATACAGTCATTGGATGGTTGGTCAACTCTATGCAACCTTATATAAGTCAACATTATCTCTGGATGTCTTCGGCCAAGGACATATGGGATAGTGTTACTAAGACCTATTCACAGAAGTTGAATGTAGCCAGAGTCTACAAGTTGAAAAGTGACGTGAAGAACCTAAGACAAGGGGAGAAGAGTGTAGCAATCTACTATTCTATACTGAAATCCCTATGGCAAGAAATTGATGTTATAGAGACAGTTGTATGGGAGAGTAAGAATGAAGCTGAAATGTATAGGAAGTTGGTGAAGAGAAATAGGGTGTTTGAATTTCTTACTGGACTCAATCCTAGGTTTGACATCATTAGGCAAAATATCCTGGCCAAAGATGAGGTTACTCTTTCCCAGGCATACGCTATAATAAGCAGTGAGGAGAGTAGGCGGCAGGTTCAGTTACAGAGTCCACCTATAGAACACTTTGCACATGCTAGAATAAAGCCAAAGGGTCCTACTGAGATAAAGGAGCAGGTATGTGAATATTGCAAGAAACCGAGGCATACAAAGGACACTTGCTGGAAGCTTCATCTTGAGCTTCTTCCTGACAGGTTTAAGAATAACAACAATGCTAAGAAGGGCATTCAGACAGGAAAGCCTAAGACAACTAATGTTGCTACAGTACTTGAAGGAGGAAATAAGGAGAGTGAAGAAAAATCAACCATTGAGCAGTTGGTAGCAATGAAAGCGGATTTTGAAAAGTATGGGAGGCTGCTAAATCACTTGGAAGCTACTGTTTCTTCATCTCACTCTTCCAGCAACACATCATCATCATCAGCATTTGCTCACTCAGGTATTCGTGATTTTGCAAATCATGCTTCAGTTTCAGGTAATCATAAAATCCCTTGGATTTTTGATTCCGGTGCATCAGACCATATGACCAGCCTGTCTAATCTCTTCTGCTCATACCACCTCTTTGGTAAAGAGAAAATATCCCTTACTGATGGGTTTCTTGCTCCCATTTCTAGTAAGGGGATATAAAGACCTCTGGCACCCTTTATTTATCCTCTGTCCTTCATGTCCCTAAACTTAATACAAACCTTTTATCTATTAGTAGTTTAACTAAATCCATGAATTGTAGCATAACCTTTTTTCCCACTCACTGTGTTTTTCAGGACCTGCAATCTCAGAAGATGATTGGGAGTGGCCATGAGGCGAACAAAATATACTTGTTGGACACACCGGATAGAGCTTTTGGACCAACTCATGTAGTTGCCTTAGAGTCAATCTTCTCAGAGTCTATTGACAAAGTCTTGTTATGTCACTTTCGGTTTGGTCATCTATCTTTTTTTGCTTTGAGTCATTTGTTTCCAGATATGTTTAAGGGAGTGTCTTTATTGAGTCTTCATTGTGAGTCGTGTGAACTGGCAAAGCATTGTAGACATTCTTATTCAATAAGCAATAAAAGATCTCTTTCTCCTTTCCATAATGTTCACTCTGATGTGTGGGGGCCATATCATTTGCCAACTATGGGGGGTTACAGGTACTTTATCCTTTTTATTGATGACTATTCTCGTTTCACTTGGATTTATTTCATGAAATCCAGGGATGATGTACCAGATATTGTGCAAAACTTTCATGAACTCATCCTCACCCAGTTTAACACTCGGATCAAAATATTCCGTTCTGATAATGCTAAGGAGTATTTTGAGAAAACCCTCTCCGCCTATCTTGAAACTTTTGGGGTTATTCATCAAAGTTCTTGTTCCTACACTCTACAACAGAATGAGTGGCGGAAAGGAAGAACCGACATGTGGTTGAAGTTGCCAGATCCCTCCTGTTTGCATCCCATGTTACTATAAAATTTTGGGGAGATGTTCTTAACTCTAAATTTGAGATCAAGGATTTGGGAGATCTTCGGCATTTTTTGGGCATTGAAGTTGTTAGATGTAAGGATGGTATCTTCACTTCTCAGCGTAAATATGCCCTTGACCTCTTTGCTTAGACTGGTAAACTTGGAGCTAAACCAATCTCCACTCCTATTGATCCCGATCATAAGCTTTCTACTACAGATGGTGACCTTTTATCTGATAAGGGGGTGTTTCAGAGACTGTTTGGAAAGTTGTTATATCTTTGCATGACTTGGTCGAACATTTCCTATGCAGTAAGTGTTATTAGTCAATTTATGCATTCTCCCAGAGATACTCATTTAGCTGATGCAGAAAGGGTTCTGTGTTACTTGAAAGGTAATCCAGGGAAGGGTATTCTATTTTCCAAACATGGACACATGAAGCTGGAATCTTTCACTGATGCTGATTGGGCAGGATGTATTGATGATAGGAGATCCACCTCAGGTTATTGTGCCCTGGTCGCTGGGAAGTAAGAAACAGTCTGTAATTGCTAGATCCTCAGCTGAAGCAGAATACAGGGCAATGACACATGGTGTGCCAGAATTACTGTGGCTACGATCCCTTTTGGAAGAATTGGGGGTTGACTATTAGAAGCCAATGATGCTCTACTGTGACAACCAAGCAGTTATCAATATTGCACATAATCCTGTTCAACATGACAGAACTAAGCACATTGAGGTTGATAGACATTTTATAAGGGAAAGAGTTTCCTCCGGAGTAGTGTGTTTGCCATTCATCACATCAGAAGAACAATTGTCTGATATCTTGACCAAGGGAGTTCCGAGAGGAAAAATAACACACTATATAAGCAAGTTGGGCATGATTGACATCTATGCTCTGTTTGAGGGGGAGTGTAAAGAGACTGGGCCGAATGGGTCATAGTATCTTCTCTCGTAATATTTTTTCTATTTTGCTGCTAGCTAATGGGCCTGTTATTTCTTTTTGTTTAATCTCTTTATGGTACTGCCTAGCTGGTCGCCCACTTTAGGGCATACTTGTAATTATTTTAACATTAATTTTTAGTAAAAGGGATTAGAGAAGGGAGGGAAGGATTATTCGAACCTTTCTTCTTCTTCCTCCTCTTTTCCCCATCTTCTTCTCTTGTACTGCTGCTCTTACTTTTCTTCCTCCTTTTTCTCTCTAATTTTTTGAGTTTACACCTATTTTTGAGGACTGGTTTACATCTGACCTAAGGACACTCTTCTCAACCTGGTCTCTTTGAAGACTTGGGACTAGTCAAAATTCTATGGAAATTGGTACCAGCTGTTATACATATATTGGTCACTATTAGCTCGAACATAACCAAAGAATTTTTTCAAAGAAAGTACCATCAGAAGTTGTGGTTGGAAAGATAGAGAGGCTTATAATCTTTCGGGCAAATATTGACAAGGAGTTTGTTGGTGTCACTAGATCATCAGTAATCAATGGAATAACGTCATTAGGAATAGTTCTTTATATGATAATAGTGTATATAAAAATGTGATATACAAAATAAGTCAGCTTTGTGAGTATCTTCTTGCACGATGGGCCTTCTCCCTCCTTTAATATAAGATCTTTTTACCTTTGAAAACAAAAATAAAATGGAATAAATTGAATTGCTTTTACATGGAACTATGACAAAGAGTAGACATGAACTAGAAGTTCTGTTCTTCATTGCTTTGTAGCTTTTTTCCAGCATTGTAGGCCAACCTGATCCCATGTTGGGATAAGGCTTAGATATGATGATGATTATGCTTATTTTTTGTCCTTAGTGTTACTTAAATATAGGCAGGCTAAAATGTGTGCCTTTATAGGTTTCTCATTATTACAATCATTTTACATATCTTTCATTTTTTGCTGTGAATGTTTAAGAGTTGGTCACATTGTCACTTTATGTTAGATGTTAATTAGGCTTCCTTTTAATGATTTTCTTGAAATTGGTACTGGTATAGTTTTTCTAGGTTTTGGCTCTTGATTGCATTATTTATATCAGGATATTTATTAACTAATTGGCATTTCAACTAAGTTTCTTCTTGCCAACTTGCAGGTATATTCTGAAAGTAACCATTAGTCGTAACTTTGTAAGCAACATTGTAGAATACCAAGATTTTGTGGTAATTGAAGTCTTACCCTTTTCTTTGACTGTTTTCATTTTATGGTACTGTTTTTGTCATATAATGATAGTACAGATGGAACTTTGGCAGGCCCAACTGAGATCCATCCATATGCATGCTACCCAAGATTTTACATGAGTTGGGATGGGTTTTAAGGGCTGCAAGCTGGGCCTAGCCCTGAAAAGTCTGACTTGATCCAAGGTTGGGTTGAACTTGGTAGCATAAGCCTGGATCAAGCAGGGCCCCAGCTTGAAGTGAGAGTGAACCCTTTAGGAATTGGTGTAATGGAGAGAATGTATTTATTTGTAGTTGCATTGTTGGAAGATGCTTGCAAACGGAATTTAAGTTTCAGGATCATCTGTCTGTGGATTGAAGGGTGGGTGCAAAAACCATAAAAGAATCATGTCAGAAAGATAGATGGTGGTGTAGATTTGTGACTTGAATTGTTATGTTAATGTAATCCCCTTAAGCATCTTTAGATTTTATATTGCTACTTGAATATCTATGTAGTGTGAATTTTCTACAAGCAGCTATTGTTTTTGTATCTTATGTCATTCTTCTCTCAGGTTCGCAACTTCACACCACTTCCATCAATCAATAACAGCATTAAGGTCAGTAGAATTATCGTTTATGGTTGTAGCTTGGAGTAGGCCACAATTATTCGTATGCAATATTTTCTATGGTTCTAATAAAGTTTTTTTGCCTTTTTTATCATTATTCATTTATTTGGACTTATATGTTGATGCACTGGTACATTTTGACAAATTTTGGTTAACCTTTTCAAAAGATGATCCACATTCTTTTGGAACTGTAGAGAAGATGGGCCGAATGGCCCATAGGCTGTTTATCCTTTTTTATTTTTTATGTTCTTTGCTGTAATGGTCCTTAATCTGGGCTTTATTCTTTCTTATGTTATGTCTTTTTAATCTTTTGCCCAACTAGGGGCTTCTCTATAAATTACTAAAGTTTAACTTAATGAAATAGAATTAAGGGAGTAAGAAAAGAGATTATGTTTGAAAATCTCTCTCTCTGAACCCAAGTTGCCGCAACCTTCTTCTTCTTCTTCTCTCCTCTTGAACTTTGATTTCTACTACTTTCTTTTGAATTTTTTCAACTTTCTAAACAGTCGTTTCTTCTCAAAAGGCTGTTTTTCTTCTTGGTATCAGAGCAGGCTCGTTTTTCCCCTTTTTTCACCTTTTTTCCATACATAGTGTGTATGTAGAACTGAATCGTATGAATAGTTAAAGAAACCATTTTCAGCCCAGTTGTTAGTGGTTTCTGGAGAGAAGGGGACTGTTTTTGTTGTCCTTGACAGATTCAAGTCTATTGCCTGAAACCCTAATTTTCTGGAGAAATCTGATTGCGGGCCCCACAGGGAGTTTGACCTGGGCACTCAGTGACTGAAAGCCTTCTCATTCTTCTTCTTGAAGATCGAATCAAGCGGATTGGTGTTCTGTGAAGTCTACAAGGAGCAGCTGAGTTTTCTTTGTTTCTCCCAGCTTCCAGGTGTGACGTAGGTTACTGGTACGGCTGCATAGAGGTTGGCTTACAACACAGTTTTTGTTCTGTCTTCATTTGTTGTTATTCGAAGTTGTTTGAAGTCATTTTTGAAGTATTTAAGAAGATGAACTCCTCAGACTTTGAAAACAAGCATGTTGCTGAATCCAGACAGGTTCCGGGAGCCTCTGTAGACTCTCTACTGGTTGTGACCACAGTCAAGCTGGATGGAACTAATTATCTGGCTTGGTCACAATCAGTAAAGATTCATATTTGTAGTAGAGGCAAATGGGGTTTTATCTCCGGGATCAAAAAGGCTCCTCCGGAAGATGATCCATCATATGAAAAGTGGATGCAAGAAAATTATACTATTATTGGATGGCTTGTGAACTCAATGCAACCACAGATTAGTTAGCACCATTTGTAGATGAATTCAGCAAAGGAAATTTGGGATAGTGTTGCTGGAACCTATTCCCAAAAATTAAATGCAGCCAAGGTTTACAAGTTGAGAAGTGATGTGAAGAATTTGAGACAGGGGGTGAAACCATTAGTTGTATACTTCTCAACACTGAAGTCCTTATGGCAAGAAATAGATTTGATAGAAGTTGTAGCCTGGGACACCACTAATGATGCTGAGACCTACAGAAAACTGGTTGAGAGAAACAGGGTGTTTGAGTTCTTGACAAGGCTAAATCTAGAGTACGACATTACAAAGCAAAATAATTTATCCAAGGATAGTGTCTCACTGTCTCAAGCATATGCCTTGGTAAGTAGTGAAGAAAGCAGAAGGCTTGTCTAGGTCCAAGGGGCTAGTCTAAATGATCATTGCTAATATGAGAGTGAAACCTAAGGGGGTTGCAGGGACTCCAAGTAGCTAAGGGAAGAAAGAGATTATATGTGAGTACTGTAAAAAGCCAAAACACACTAAAGACAAGTGTTGGAAATTGCATCATGAGCTCCTACCACTTCGGTTTCAGAAGAAGTCTAATAATATAAAGGCAGGGAGTGCCAATGTTGTTGTTGGTCCAGATAGTGACAGATACCAAACTAAAGAGATGACGGTTAGTGAGCAGTTAGCAGCTATGAAGGCAGAATATGTGAAGTTTGGGAGGATGATCAGTTCCCTAGAGGGTGTGACCTCTTCTTCTAACCCTCCAGGAAATTCAACCTCTTCTGCATTTGCTCATTCAGGTATATGGGCTTCTGCCAATCATGCAACCATTTTAGGTAATCGTAGGTCCCTTGGATTATTGATTCAGGTGCTTCTGATCATATGACCAACCTTTCTACTTTGTTTGTTTCATATGATTTACGTCATGGATGTGACAAAATCACCCTAGCCGATGGCTTTCTACTTTTTTATCTTTTATGTTCTTTGCTGTAATGGGCCTTAATCTGGGCTTTATTCTTTCTTATGTTATGTCTTTTTAATTTTCTGCCCAACTAGGGGTTTCTCTGTAAATTACTAAAGTTTAACTTAATGAAATAGAATTAAGGGAGTAAGAGAAGAGATTACGTTTGAAAATCTCTCTCTGAACCCAAGTTGCCGCCACCTTCTTCTTCTTCTTCTCTCCTCTTGAACTTTGATTTCTGCTACTTACTTTTGAAAATTTTCAACTTTCTAAACGGTCTTTTCTTCTCAAAAGAATGTTTTTCTTCTGGAACTGTTGAATGTGTTAAAATAATTGATTTTATGTTTGTTAGGGTTTGTTTGGCTGATTAAAGCTTTTTTTATTTTAATCTATTATTGTACTATCACTTAGTAGGGGCACAAGGGTCATTTCCCTTCTTATTTTTTTGCCCTATATATTATAATGAAGCTGACGCCGCCAAGACTCTTCCATTTCCTCAACACTTCTTCCTTCTTCTCTTCTCTTCTCTCCTCTTCTCTTCTCTTCTCTCCTCTTCTCTTCTCTTCTCTTCTCTTTGCTGTAACCTTCAATCAGATTTACTGTCAAGATGGTATCAAAGCGTGGCCGTTGAATCTGGGCGATCAGGTGTCTTCTCCAAGCTGCTGAATCTGGGCGGAACAGAGGAGTACATCTGGGTTGTTCGAATCAGACCTGCAACTGGTACCGCCCCATTTTTTTTCTTTTCTTTTCATCTCTTCCCTTGGTCGTGTAACAAGAGGAAAACGAATGGATCTGAACCACTGAATGTTGGCACACCCTTGTGAGGTTTTTCCTCTACTTGTTTTGGATCGTGTGATCCTGTACCTGTGAAAGGCTTCTGTAGGTCACGTATGACCTGTTTTCTCTACTTGTTGGCTTGACGCCTTGTGTGAGGATCTCCCCTTGTGATTATTGCTTGTAGACCTGCTGAGAAAACTAGTAGGTTGGGACTGTTACTCCGTACAGGTCTGAAAATCAGATCTGTCATCTTGTTTATTCTGGAAATTGGTGGTCTTGTGCTCAAATTAAGTCAAAAAATTGCAGTGTGGGTGGACTAATCACTTGTTGTGTGTGGAGTTTTTTGTTCTGATATAAGGAGGGATCCTAAGTTGAAGTTTTTTGATAAAAAAATTCTGTTGACCATGTCTTCTGAGAATTCTGCTACTTCAGGGATTTCTGGAAATCAAAATGGGGTAAGTGGGGGAATGGATATG